GTGTGTGTGTTGTGTGTTGTGTGTTGTGCGTTGTGTGTGTTGTGTGTTGTGTGTTGTGTGTTGTGTGCCGTGTGTTGTGTGTTGTGTTGTCTGGTGTGTGCGTTGTGTGGTGTGTGTTGTGTGCTGTGTGTTGTGTGTTGTGTTGTGTTGATTGCTTGTTGTGTGTTGTGTGTTGTGGATTGTGTGTTGCGCATTGTGTTGTGTGTTGCGTGTTGAGTGGTGTAGTTTGTTGTGTGTTGTGTGTTGTATGTTGTGTTGTGTGTTGTGTGTGCTGTGTGGTGTGGGTTGTGTGTTGTGTGTGTTGTGTGTTGTGTGTTGTGTTTCGTGTGTTGTGTGTTGTGCTGCGTGTTTGATGTTGTGTGTTGTGCGTGTGCGTGTGTGTGCGTGTGTGTGTGTGCAAATACGCATATATATATATATATACACACATACGCGTATCCGGAGATGTTCCGGAGATGTTCCAAAACAAGTCCCGAGATTTTCATGAGACCCCTGCACGGCGGAAATCCTCCGGAGATGTCCCCCGGAGATTGTTTGAGCCCGTAGATTTTCTGGAGATGTCCTTGGATATGTTTTAAGCCGGAGATGTTCTGGAGATTTTGAAAATGGCCAAACTCAGATTGGAGATTTCCCCAGAGATTTTCAATTGATTTTTCGCCCAGAAGGCTCCAGTCGCGTTTGCAGTACTGACCCAATCTACTTCTAGGCACTCTAGGGGCACTCTGGGGGGGCAAGGCTACTTGAAGCTCCTGCCTTGTGTAATCGATATCCTCCAAGATGGCTCCAGGAGCGTCCCCAAGCCGCCCAAGAGCGCCCCCAAAAGGGCCCAAAAGAGGCGCCAAGGAGGCCCCAGGAGGCGCCCTAGGAGCCTCCAAGAGGCTCCCCGAGGTACACAAGAGGTCCCTGGGACCGCCAAGAGGCCCCCAAGACGCCCCAAGAAGCCCCCAAGATCGACAGTGTCCTCCTCCTCCTCCTCCTCCTCCTCCTCCTCGTCCTCCTCCTCCTCCGCCTCCGCCTCCGCCTCCTCCTCCTCCTCCTCCTCCTCCTCCTCCTCCTCCTCCTCCTCCTCCTCCTCCTCCTCCTCCTGCTCCACCTCCTCCTCCTCCTCCTCCTCCTCCTCCTCATCATCATCATCATAATCATCATCATCATCATCGTCATCATCACCATCATCATCATCATCATATCATCATCATCATCATCATCGTCATCATCATTCATCATCATCATCATCATTCATCATCATCATCATCATCATCATCATCATCAAGCATCAGCATCATTCATCCCCCTCCCTGCTCCCTCCTTCCCCTCCCCCACCTCCTCCTCCTCCTCCTCCTCCTCCTCCTCCTCCTCCTGTTCCTAATCCCCCTCGTCGTTCTTCCCTGCCTTTCCTGCTTCGGCAGGTCTGCGAAGGCGCATATGGTTCGCTCCTGGGTCTGCGCAGGCTGATCCCAGACTTCAGTTTGACGGCTTCCCCAACTTTTGATCCACTGCATTCTCCTCCGCTTCCCTGATCAAGGCATCTCGCCCGGGCACTGTTTGTAAATAGCTGGTGGGGATTTTTTTGTCGAAGCTGCAGGCCAACCGGCCGACAGCGTCTGTAGAGTAAGCACGGGCCGCGAGCACCCTAATTGCCAGCGCGCGCGCGCCGAGCAAGCAAACTAAACCTACCGCCGAGGGAAGCTGCGCCGGGGCTGAGCTGCGCCGAGCGGTGGAAGCTGCCAGCTGCGGAGGCGGCTGGAATGTTGCAACGTGCGAGTATCATGGGAGATGAATCACCAGTCACGAGAATTAGTCCTCGTCGCCGCGGGGCGCCAGAGGACAGTGAGGCAGACCGCCAGGTGGCACGCCAGCCTGCACAAGAAGGCTGAACCACTCCTGCAAGACACGGCGGCCAATACTCTGGTGCGGATACGCGAAGCATCAAGAATTGAAGGGGGGTTCTGGGACTCCCGGCTACAGCAGGTGGCTCCAGGGCGTTCCAAAAACCCACACAACGCATGCTAGCCCCAAGACCGCCCAAGATAGGCTCCAATTGAGCACCCCAAGGAATAGAGACCAGAGGCATTACATGTATTGGCATTGAGGATGTTGCTCGAGCCGTCGCCACATCGCCACATTCATCATCATAAGCATCATCATCATCATCATCAGCAGCAGCATCATCAGCATCATCATCAGAAGCCCCAGCATCAGCATCAACGTCAGCATCATCATCGTCTTCGTTGTCGTCGTCTTCGTCGTCCTCGCCGTCGTCGTCTTCGTCGTAATAATCATCATCAGCAGCAGCAGCATCATCATCATCATCAGCATCATCATCAGCATCATCAATAACAACAGCATCATCATGGTCATAAACGCCATCGTAATGAGTTTCCTCATCCTCCTAATTGCTCAGCCCTAAGACGCTGCGGTGGCGCGGTGACGAAGCCTGCAGTAGTCTCGGCCGATTGGGCACCATGAAGACTTCTTCTGCGACCAATTATGAATACATAAGAGCGGGGAGAGCCCCAAAACTCAGGAACCGAAGGAAGCCTGGGCCCAAGAGCTCAATCTGGAAACCATGAGTCACAGACATCGGTCGCCATGTTTTGGGGGAGCGCGCTTTGCTTCCGAGGGCTCCCGCAGGCCTTCCGCAAGCGGAGCCGCGCCCGAGGAGGAGGAGGAGGAGGAGGAGGAGGAGGAAGGAGGGAGGAGGGAGGAGGGAGGAGGGAGGAGGAGGAGGAGGAGGAGGAGGAGGAGGGAGGAGGGAGGAGGGAGGAGGGAGGAGGGAGGGAGGAGGGAGGAGGGAGGAGAAGGAGGAGGAGGAGGGAGGAGGAAGGAGGAGGAGGGAGGAGGAGGGAGGAGGAGGAGGAGGAGGCTTTTACTTCCGCCGCCTCTCGCTCGCCTCCCGCCGAAGAAAAAAATCGAAACTGTTCGATCCGTCGAGGCCAGGCCCCTCCTGGAACACCCCATTTCCCCCGTTGCAGTCGTATGCTTGTGCTCTGTGTGCGCTCGCGCGTGCGTGCGCGTCTGCGTGTGCCGCATGCGCGTGACACTGCGCGCTCGTGGTGCGTTGTTGCGCTCGCCTGTGCCAGTGGGCCCGTGAAGAAGGACGCCGGGGAAGCCTAAGCAGAGGACGAGACTTGGGAGAGACGGGGACCTGAAGAAACGGTGACGAAGAGGAGACAATGATTCCCTGCCGTTCCCCTCTGTCCCCCTCTCCTTTTCCACTCTTCCCTGTGTGTCCCTCCCGTTTCCTAACTTTCCTCTTTTCCCTCTGTTTCCCGTCCTTCCCCTCCCGGTTTCCCATGTTTCCCTCCCTCTTCATTCCTTCCCCACCCTCTTCCCTATGTTTCCCTCCCGTTTCCTTCCTGTCCATCTGCCTCCCGTTTGCTTTCTTTCACTCTGGTGTCCTTCCTTTCCTTCCCGTTCCCTCGGCGTCCCTCCCTTGTCCTTCCGGTTCCTTTCCAATTCCTCTCCGTCTTCCCTCCCTATATCATTCCGTTTCCCTCCTTTTCCTTCCGTGTCTCTCTCTGTTCCTTCCGTTTCCCTCCCTTTTCCTTCCGCGCCCCCCCCTTGTCCTTACATGTTCATCCCTTTTCCTCCCGTTTCCCTTCCTTTTCGTTCCGTTTCCCTCCCTCTTCCTTGTATGTTCGTGATTTGTCCCGCCCTTTTCCTTCCGTTGCCCTACCCGTTCCTTCCGTTGCCCTCCCTTTTCCTCCCGTTTCCTATCGTTTATGTAATTGTTGTCCCTCCTCCTTCCTTCCGTCTCCCTCTCGCGTCCTTCCGTTTCCCTCCCATTTCCTTCGGTGTACTTTTCCCTCTCGTTCCCTTCCGTGTCCTTCCTTGTTCCTTCCGTGTCCTTTTTCCTCCCTTTTCCTTCCGTGGCCTTCCCTTGTCCTTCAGTATCCTTTGTCCTCCCTCTTCCTTCGGTGTCCTCTTCCCCCTCGTTTCCTTCCTTTTCCCTTTCGTTTCCTTCAATTTCCCATTATTGTCCCTCACATATCCTTCCGTTCCCCGTCCATTTCCCTCTTAACTCCTTCCGTTTCCCTTCCTTTTCCCTCTTGTTTCCTTCCGCTTCCCTCGCTGTTCCTTCCATTCCTCTTCCTTTTCCCTCTCGTCTCCTTACGTTTCTCTTCCTTTCCCCTCTTGTTTCCTTACGCTTCCTTCTGTGTTCCGTCCGTGCCATGCTCCCCCTCGTTTCCTTCCGTTTCACTTGATTGTCCGTCGCTTTTCCTTATGTTTCCTTTGCGTTTCCCCCTCGTTTCCTTCCGACTCCCCTCCCGTGTCCTTCCGTTTCCATTCCTGTTCCGTCTCGTTTCCTTCCGTTTCCCTTCCTTTTCCCTCTCGTTTCTTTCCGTGTCCTTTCCTTTTCCCTCTCGTCTCCTCGCGTTTCCCTCCCCGTTCCTTGTGTGTCCTTTTCCGTGTTGTTTCCTTCTGTCTTTCTCTCCGTTTGATGCCTTTTCCCCGCAGGTTTAGGGAATTACTTGACTCTGGAGTTAAGTGATTCTGGGGGCCGGGGGAAGCACCAACAAAAGACGAATTGAGCTGCAGAGGGAAGTCGTATTGAGGCTGGTAACAATGGAAGACATGTAACAAATCAACTTTTTCAACCTGGCTGTCAATGCTCTGCAATGCTCTGCCTGGCCCGAATTACCGACCAGCACAGTGTACAGCACAATGAGCCTAGGGCGCTGCAAGCGCATAGAGAGCCTAAATGTTTACAGCGCGCGCGCGCCAGACATTCCATGACGACGCAATGCGTCTACCCCTTGATCGAAAAACGCGTTTACAAGTCGATCGGAAAATGCGAAAAATGAACTTGCTAGCAGAGTAAAACTTAGAAGTCATAGCTAATTACCTTGCCGGCTTGAATGATTTTCCCGGCCACCGCCGCGGCCAGGCTCGTGCCGGGCCCGCGCGCAGCGCCTATAAACGGAGGAGGCCCGCCCCGCACGGCGTAAGACGCCTGCACGTCTGCCGGTGGGGCCCCCACCAGGATCTGGACCGGCAGGCTAGGACTTCTTCGGCTGAAGGGACACGAGGAACTCCACCGCGGTATTGAAGAGCACCCGCTGCCAGGAGGGCTGGTACGGCTGCGACTCCGGGTAGGGGAACGGCTTGCCGATGGCCCAGAGGATGCCCAGGAGACCGCCGACGCCTTCGGTGTTGCCCTGCCGCCGGTCCATCACGTACCCGATCGTGTACTGGGTAACCTCCCCGGCCTCGTTGAAGCGAAGACTGCAAGCCTGCGGAGGATTCTCGAAGCGCTTCATAGTAGGCTCGGTAATCAGCGGGGGTGCGATGCCCGTGTTCGTCCCACTGCCGCGGGCGGTGAACCAAACTCGGTTGGCCTCGAAGGGGTCAACACGGAAGTCGTGCCACTCGTTCTTGGCATCTGGAAAGGCCTGCCGGAAGCTGAAACCGCGAAGCTGCTCGATGAATTTCGCCTTGCCCAGGGGCCCTATGATAGGGCCACAGAACTCGAAGTCCTCCGAGATCAGCTCGGGAACCGTGACTGCATCCTTAGAGGAACAAAAAGCGGCATAAGCATAAACTCCGGAAGCTCCGCGCGAAGCTCCAAAAGCTGATGCTTGTGCACTTTGCGATGATGCCCCGAATCCTGATTCAGGGCGAGGTAGAGCTTGGCTCGGCGGATCAGCTCAGCCTCCCCGAGGGGGAACGAGCGCGCCCGCCGCATGGCGTCCTCGTCGACCACGTGGTCCACCAGGAAGGCCTCCAGGGTGGCCCGCTGAGCCTCGCTGAGGTCCGCCTCCGCCAGAGCACGCCCGCGCAGCCCCGGCGCCCGCGCGCGCCACGGGGCGCGGCCCGAAAAAAGAAAGACGCCGCCGCCGCACTGCACCGCCAGCGCCACCACCGCGGCGGCGGCGGCCGCCAGCGCAGAACGCCCGCGTCCGCCGGCGCTGCGCGCCGTGCACTGCCGCCGCCGCCGCAGCATCATCATCGCTGCGCCCCCGCTGGTCGGGAATCTCCTGACCCCGGGGCAATCCAGGCCCGGGTCAGTCAGGCCTTGCAGGATCCTGCAGGATCCCGAACCCGAACCAGGGCCAGCGCGAAGGAGCCGGCAAGATCCTGCAGGCTCCCGCGCCCAAACCCCGGTCAGTGCGACCCTGGCCCTGCAGGATCCTGCAGAATCCGGCGCTCTGGCTGACCCCCGTTTGCATAGACCCCCGTCTCTTGAGCCCCGAGCTGGGATTTGTACCCGGCCGCCGGGGAGGTGGCGTTCGGACAGGAAGGATAGCCAGCCTCGGGATTGTCCCTACCCCTGAGATCGGCGCAAGTCCGAGGCGGTGGCAATCTCCGAAGTGTGCCCTCAGAAACTGAGGGAGCCCTGAAGATCGGCATCGAAAGTTAGGTGATGCCAAACATAGGGAGAGAGATACGTTTCAAGCTGGCTAAGGAAGGCTGAGCAGGTTGACTGCAGACGTCTCGAACGAGGAGCAGGCGGAGGAGAAGAATCGGCGTCAAGAGCAGGAGGAGGGAGCGGAAGGGCGACGACAGCAGCACCGCCGATCGCAGCAGCGGTGGCAAAGGGAGGAAGAGGAAGAGGAGGATGAGCGGACGAACGCTACAGCTCAGCAGCTGAAGTTTGTCCAACGTTAAGACAGGACGAGCGGGAGAAGCAACATAAGCAGGAGGGGGATGAGGATGACGGCAGGGCAGCGATAGGAAAGAGAAGCACGGAGGACAGAGGTGAGGAGCCGGAGCGGGGGGAGGAGAGAGGAACGAGGAAGACGACGCAGGATGATCTGAAGGATCAGGGTAAGGGAGGACAGAGGGATGAGGACAAGGGGAGGATCGATCAATTCGGGAATGGTGAGGGGAGGGGAGTGAGGACAGGGGCATGCAGAGGAGGGCGATCTTTAACCTCCGCGGCGGGGCGCCCCCAGATGCAGGGGACAACGGCGAAGGCCTCCTCCTCCTCCTCCTCCTCCGCCTCCACCTCCTCCTCATCCTCCTCCTCCTCCTCCTCCTCCGCCTCCTCCTCCTCCTCCTCCATCCTCCTCCTCCTCCTCCTCCTCCTCCTCCTCCTCCTCCTCCTCCTCCTCCTCCTCCTCCTCCTCCTCCTCCTCCTGACCCTTCCCCTTCCTCTCGAGCCCGAGCTCTCGGCACCGCCGCCCAACACGGGGGGCGGGAGGGGGGCGAAGGGGGCTGCCCGTCCCCCCCCCTTTCGAGGAGAGGGGGGCCTCCGACCACTACACGAAAGAGGGGGGGGCGCGAAGGCCAGAGGGGGAGCGACCGAGGAGGGCGTCTCGAGCAGGCGGCCGAGGGAGAGGGAAGAGCAGACTGGGGGCAGCCAGGGCCGTGTCTGAGGAGGCCCAGGCGAACGCGCGTCGAAGGGACCCCCCCAAGAGAAAAGCTGGGAGTGGCACGACGCTCGCACGGCCGCAGCCCCGCCGCGGGGCAGCCACTCCTCTAGACACAACTTGTGTCTAGAGGAGCTGAGGCAATTGGGACGGCGAAGACAAAGAGGTGGGGGGGGGGAAGCGGAGCAGGCGGAGGACGGGGAGAGGGAGCCGGAGGAGGGGGAGAGGCGCGCAAGAGGGGGGAGGGGAGAAGGGGGCAGGTTGGGCAGGAGCACGAGGAGAGGGGGAGGTGGTGTGCAGGAAGGGGGGGGGGCACGAGGACGGCGGCGGCGGAGGCGCAGAGGCGTGGAGGCGGGGCACCGAGGGGGGCGAGGGGAGGGGAGGACGGGGGGAGGGAGGGGGGAAGGACGGGGAGGGGGGGGAGGGGGGGGGAAGGGGGGGAAAGGGGGGGAAGGGGAGGGTGGGGGGAGGCAAACTGGGTGCGCTCGCGTCATATTTGACGTCCTAACCCTCCCTCCCATCCCTTACCATGGCGTAGATATCCTCTCTATTCGCACAAACGGATGTCGTAGCGGAGGATAGCATTACATGGCATAACATGGTGTTGAAGATCAACGCGTATCCTGACATAGCATGGCGTGGCGACGCCCCATGGCGTGGCTTCTGCGACCAAAAAAATCAACGAATCGACACCGAATGTGGAATCACGCCCGACGATTGTTTCGGGGGGGCATTTTCTAAATTTTGGGGCCGATTTGGAAGAACCGAAAACCATGCCGTGAAATGGCAATGGAAATAATAACGTCAGCGCTGCAGCGGGAGCACGATTCGGAATGAGCGGAAGCGCGGAAATGAAGCCAGCGCTGCAGCCGGAGCACGATTCGGAATAAGCGGAAGCGCGGAAATGAAGCCAGCGCTGCAGCCGGAGCACGATTCGGAACGAGCGGAAGCCCGAAAATGACGCCAGCGCCTCAGCGAGAGCAGCATTTTGAGAAAAAAAAAAAAAAAAAAAAAAAAAAGAAAAGAAAAGAAAACAAAAAAAACGAAAACCCAATTCGCCGACATCCTGTGGGAAAAAAAACATACGCGAGGGGGGGCCGAACACTCCGAGACAGATTCCACCACAGACTCAGGGGAGAGAGAAGAATAGTCGGAGGTTGGGGGGCGAGATCGCAGTGGAACGGAGACCCCCAACCAGGAAATCGTTTCGTTTCGTTCGTGTCGTGCGCGCGGGCGAGGCGAAGCTGCGTAGGCGCGCGAGAGGAATAAACCCGCCACTGCTAGGGCGAAGTCAAGACAAATGATTATCCCCCGTCCGCCCGCCCGTCCGGCGGTGGTTCGTGGTGTCCCGCGGTGTCCCGTGGTGTCCCGTAGTGTCCCGTGGTGTCCCGCGGTGTCCCGTTGAGTGAAATCGATCGTGAAATCCATAACGAGGTCGATAGTGAGACCGATAGTGAGATCGATAGTGAGATCGATACAGTCGGGGGCTTGACCTAAGGAACCCAAAATAAAGAACGAGGCCCTTTTTTCCATGAGTTGAACTTCGATTTCCGATCGAAAACATTAAGAAAACCTGAGGCAAGCGGCGAAACACTTAAGGAACGCGGAGCCCCTCCCCAACGAAAAGGGTTCCTTCTTCAGGGCCCCGACTGTACTGAGATCGACACCTGAGATCAATGTGGTGCCTCGAGGTGTCCCGTAGTGTCCCAAAAAAAGGGGATCGATAGTGAGATCGACAATGAGATCGACAGGTGTCCTGTGCTGTCCCATGGTGTCCCGTGGTGTCCCGTCGAGCACGATCGATAATAAGATCGATATTGAGATCGATACTGAGATCGATGTGGTGCCCCGAGGTGTCCCGCGGTGTCCCAAACAGTGAAAGCAATAGTGAGAACGAGAATGAGATCGGCAGGTGTCCCGTGGTGTCCCGTGGTGTCCCGTGGTGTCCCGTGGTGTCCTATGGTGTCCCGTTGTGTGAGATCGATAATGAAATCAAAAGTGGGACCGATAGTGAGATCGAGAGGTGTCCCGCGGTGTCCCGTGGTGTCCCGTCGTGGCCCGTGGTGTCCCGTGGTGTCCTGTTGAGTGAGATCGATAGTGAGATCAATAGTGAGATCGACAAGTGTCCTGTGGTGTCCCGTGGTGTCTCGTGGTGTCCCGTGGTGTCCCGTGGTGTCCCGTGGTTTCCCGTGGTGTCCCGTTGAGTGAAATCGATAATAAGATCGATTGAATCAGATGTCGGTTCCCCCTCTCCCCCCCACCCCCCCACCCCCCCCACGCGACCTCGTGATCACCCGAAGGGTGCCCGTATCGGTATTCATGTCGAATGATTGTAGAGGGGAGGGGAGGGGAGAAGGGGGGGGAGAGGGGGAGGGGAAGGGGCAAGCTAGGTGCGCTCGCGTCATATCTGACGTCATACCCCTCCCTCCCATCCCTTACCTTGGCGTTGATTTTCTCTATCCGCGGACGCGTGTCGTAGCGGACCTGTGGCTCCGCGCGCGCGTGCGTAGTGGGTGGTGGTGCACGTGCGTGCGTGCGTGCGTGTGTGTGCGTGGTTGTCGTGGTGGTGGTGGTGGTGGTGGGTGGTGGTGGTGGTGGTGGTGGTGGTGGTGGTGGTGGTGGTGGGTGGTGGTGCTGGTGGTGGTGGTGGTGGTGCTGGTGGTGGTGGTGTTGGTACTGGTGCTGGTGCTGGTGGTGGTTGTGGTGGTGGTGGTGGTGGTGGTGGTGGTGGTGGTGCGGCGCGGTGGTGGCGGGCGGATGGGCGCGCGAGAAAAAGGCCCGCGCTGGGGCGAGAACGCCATCCTGAACGACGGAGGCCAAACACCGATCCGAAAATGAGGCCCACGCTGCAGCGGGAGCACGATTCGGAACGATTCGGGAGCAGAAATGAGGCCGGCGCCTCAACGAGAGCAGCATTTTGGGAAAAAATGACGCCGGCGCCTCAGCGAGAGTCGTTTCCCGGGATTTCCCGGGAATCCTGTGTGTAAAAAAACAGTACGCGGAGGGTGCGCGGCCATCACCCGGACGCCATCAGGGGAAGAGGGAAAGTATTTTCATATTGAATAATTGTGGAGGGGGAAAGGGGGGGGGGGGGGGGGAGGGGAGGAGGGACGGGGGTGCGGGGGGAAGTCGATCTGACCAGGGGAGAAGCCGAGGAGCAGCAGGCCCACAGGCGCCCCGAGGCGGCCGACGACGGCCGACGAGTGCGCGATCGGCGCGCCGAGGCGCGGCCCCGAGGAGCGCCCCGACCCCGACTCCAAAATAGGAAACCTGCCCCCTCGCGCCCGAAATCTGCGCGAGGGCCCTCCCCCGGGGCGGCCCGGCTACGCGCGGGCCCCCGGGGGGGCCGAGCTCGGGCAGCCACAAAAACAAC